AAGTATAACTATTGAATAATAAGATTTTAATAAGATTTTATTGAGTGTTTTGATTGCTATTATTGAAGCTGGTACTGAAGAAATATGTTAAGTTTAAAGTTTCCTATAAGCGGTTCTGTTTAGTATATAATCTGCTGATGCTCGAGGACTTAAAGACACTTTCCGTTCATCTGGTGTTCAAACGCCTTCTTTGGATACGTTAGTCCTGCCCGCAAGCATGAACGATATACCTCTTCGCAGCTCAAAAATGCGTGAGGAGAGTGCAAAAAGCTACGGACCCGCCCACTGGCCACCGCAACGCCTAACTTTCATTTCCAAGGGCTTCGCGGTGATGCGATTGTTCCGCTACCACCTCTCTCCGTTTCAAATGGTGAGAGTGAGGTGATAACGAGAAAGAGCTGACAAACCAAAAGGTGAGAACTCGTCCGAACACGCCCTTCCTTCAACTGCGGTTCAGCATTGGGTTCTTCTTCCTTCATGGGCGTTCGGATGGGTTTTATGCTCTTTCCACACTTTTTTGTGTTATTTACCGTCTTGTTATCATGAATGGAGCCGTACAACTCGCCATTTTTGAAGCGCGACTTTGTGTAAGCTAGTCCAAGGAGTTGCGAGAAATCACTTTAAAACCAACCCTTAGAAAATTGAGACAATGGTCAGCATGTGCATTGACTTCAGTGCAAGTCTCCCAGCTCTCGTGTCATGCTTCCTTTGACGAATTGATATACACGCCTTCTAGATTGATTTTTTCATGGATAATCAAGCGTACGCAAATTGTTTCGTGGAAAATTGTTGGCTTTGGTTCATTGATATTACATTTTATGGTTTGAAATAAGTTTGGTTGCGTTTTGCTCAGCCGGAGTTCTATTCAAGAAGTCAGCAGTTGGTTGAAATTTTCAGAGAATTCACAAAATCGAAAAACAGGGGCTGTATTACGATATTACGATACGATAAGGTAGGGATATTTTAGTGCAGAGCACCAACTACATTTGAAGCCACGACAAAGTTTCGTGATTCATCTTCTGAAGTTCTTATTGCCCTGGGTTCAGGTAAAACCTTTAGCTGTTTGATCCGCATATTTCTTTTCAGCTTCACTCATACTGCGCGATCCCAGCGGTCGCTGACGCCTGTCGCTCTAGTCGCGAAAGTATGAATGCTTTCTAAGACGTGTTTATTCATTGTATTACAACTGTGGCCGTCTTCTTTGCTGATTATGCTGGTCGAGCCAGGGGCTGTATTTAGCGAAGCGCGACCTGCTCTTCCGACCTGTTGCAGTCGCTCGCCCAGCCTCAACAGTTGGTGAACAACTGATTGGCGCCGCGCCAAACTTGGTCTCCCAATGCGCCCCAGCATCCGCTGCGAACAGGGCTGTATGTAGGTTTATGACTGTGCTATAAGGTCCGAAGACGGCTTTGGGGGTGTGTTCATACTTTGCGACTCGAGAGTACGCCGTTTTTCTCGTGGAGGTGGGGAGGGTAGTGAATGGGTGAAACTGAAGGTAAAGGTATCGATCAGCGCCCAGAACGCCGGAAGTCGACAAACCTCTAACGCCAGTTAAAACCAGAGCATGAACGCAGCCTTATGCTGAAAGTTAACCAATTAAACTAAGCCGAATAACCTCTATGCACGGTCCGCGATCAGGTATAGAAGTTGAAAAAGGTGTCGGGAGGGTAGTGTGGTCCACGACGCACGACCAACTACTCTGTCACCGGGTTTCCGCGGCCTAACAATTGGTACAGCGCAAAGGCGCTATGGTGCAACATAGGTTGCTCAGTGACCCCCCGCGTCGTTTTCTCCGGTGCTCCCGCTTCGGGCCGCCTTGTCCAGGTAAAAAGAAGCTGATCGGACCGAAAAACATCAAACGTCACTCTCATATGGACGTCAGATTTCTTTTCCCCGAACTCGGCGCCTGTGCGGCCACTGCCAGGGCGCTCAGTGTTCTTGCCCGCAGATACCGCGAGCTCAGACCTGGGCGAGCCGCTAGACTCGACTCCATCGTCTGAGATGGCGCGAGCCGCGTGCGCTCCCGCGCTTCTCCAACTGAGCGCGTAGCGGAATCACTGTGCGTTCTTGGGAGCATATTTTTTGTTTCTCAGCACACATTGCTACCCACATCCGTCTCTTTGTCCTGACAGCAGAACAGGAATGACAGTTGTCTAACGCTTGACACAGATCACTACGAGTGACCTGTGGCCATGTCGACCCACCACCTAACTAGCGTCTCAGGACTGATGTAGTTTAGCAACTGGGATTACAATGGGGTTCTAGGGTAGCAGCATGTTTTTCATGTTTTTTCTCTTCGCTGTCGAGTTCCTCAGAATTTTGTCGTCTATATACAAACCCGACATCCTCTATCTGTGATGGCGAATGATTGCGGGCTTTGCTTTAAAGTTCTCATTCACTGAATTTTCTGAAAATTTTTGTTATGTTTCAGTTCGTTGTAGCCCGAGGCAAACTGATTGACGATTGTAAGCTTTTCCAATGCCCTTTGTAATAACATTTGTTTGCTTGTTTTTTTCTCCTTAATCCTGAATTATCGCTTCATCTGTTCATACAGTTGTTTTATTGATATCCATTCATTGAGTCATTGTCAGTTTGTCTTTCGATAAAAATGCAAAGCCCTGGAGCCTATTCCATAAGCGGCGTTGTAAATATCTATGACTTCTATGAGATATTCACGACAGACTCGCATATTTGCTAACTGACGTGCTTGCGAGTGTAACAGTCTCCAGATAGATATAAGATGAGGAGATATCATTTCGAATATGATGAAGTGGGTAACACAGATTTTACTACACGTCTCGTCTCTTCTAGTGTATATTCTCTACGCAGCCACCTACTTTCCTTCCCTTTTCGCACGGGAAAAGTTTTGGTACGCTTCTTGAAGTGTACGTTCTTTTTCAGTTCACATTCAATATGTAATATTTTACTTTTCCGGTGAGGCTCGCAGGTCTAGAGGCCTTTCATCTGCCCCCTGTAATGCTCCTAACAGATTGTATGAGGAGTGCATGATTTCAATGCAAGTTCCCCATTTTCTGTTTTGCGCATCTAAAACTGAACTAAGGTGCCTCTCCCATATAGCTTTTTTTGGTGAATAATCGCCTGTGCGCAACGTGATTCTGCCAAAAATGAGTCATCGTACACTTAATTCTCTAGCTTGGAATGAATTTTGTGGCGCTTTTTTCCAAATACTGGCCATCGATATGAATGTAATTCTCGAAGAGCGCATGGGTGATGGAGCTGAGAGCGCATCCATACTTCATTGTCTGATGCGGCGAGCGAAATGACGTTATACTTTCGCGGATGTCTGCGATTTACCACTCTGGAAGTCGTGAACGTGCCTTATTGTACTCCAAATCTGATTTCGTGAGGCAGCTACTAGAAGTGGGAATAGTTAGGTAATATAATCCTTCAAGTTGCCTTGGGTTCTTCCACTATGGCGAAAGCAGAAATGTGAACGACTCTGTGTGAATATCTTCACGAGCCGTGCATTTTTTGATAGTAGGAAATTTAGAAAACGCTTGTTATTAGCAGTTGGGCCGCATTTTTATTTTGTCGATCTTATCGAATCAGGGATTTTTCCATGCTTTTCTTTATCCATCTAGAAGAATTCCGCTACTGCGATTCATACCTTGCAACTTCAGCAGTCGTTCTTTCCGTTGTGAAACCGGAGTGATAAAGGATTTGCTTGTGAACTCAATTTCCAGTATTCTCACATTTAGGCACTATGAGAGGGTGTCCTCTACTTGGTCATGCACAGGGCTGGTTTGTACGCCGAATATTTATTAGATACGTCGAAACTGTGAATAGAAAAGTGTACTGTATCGATCTGAAGAACCGCAGAATTTGGAGAATGGAGAATCTGCTGAAATGCCGAAACTCCACGAAGTTGCATTTCAAGGGACGAGCAAAGCCGATGCATCGTATGAGATCTTGTGTCGCCGCCAGTCGGCCATTTCCGCAGATTCTGCGTTTCTCCCATTCCCGTCGATTTTTATTTTTCAAAACAGTACGTATTCTTTTTTCCCAGGAGGTGAGGCCGATCGTTGCAGTGATGAAGATTGAAGTATACTCCCTCCTTTTCTACTATAAAGTTTCCATTTGCAGAGCAAGTCAAAGTTGATGAGCATGAATGCCAGTGCCATGGTTGTGTGAAGAAACGACAACAAAAAGAGGCGAATCGACCATGGAAACGAAACGTACCAAGAAGATCTTGACTGTTCTTGTAAGTGTTATTACTGTTTTCCTATCTGTACGCTGCATTGTCACGGGTCCTCATAATATCCGACAGTGTGTGAGCAAAAGCGTGATACTTTATGGTTTAGATGTTGTTTAGAAACTGAGAGCCAAGGATCCAAATATTTAAGGGTCTAATTAATAATAAGCAGACCAATTTCAGTTTCTCCTATTGGCATGGGTTGTGTTCGCGTTGATAGTGAAGAAGGTGACGGAAATTGAAGTTACACATGAGGAATATAATCCGTATCAAATTCTAGGGCTTGATCAGGTACATCGGTCAGCACATTCCTTCGTTTTGATCGAACCTGAAGAGTTTCACGTTTCAGGGAGCGGATCCGGCAGCTGTGAGGAAAGCGTATCGTGAACTATCGAAAAAGCTCCATCCTGACAGAGGTGGTGATGCTCAAATGTTCGACAAAATAGCGAAAGCTTATCAAGCTTTAACTGATGAGGAATCGCGTGAGAATTGGGAAAAATATGGTAACCCGGACGGACCTACAGGTAAAATTGTTTGCACGCATAACTAATTCGTTGGCGGTTCCTTTTTTTTGCAATTTATTTTCTCTACCAAGGAGCGTTTTCAGCAACGACGTTTGGTATTGCATTGCCAAAATGGCTTGTAAGCAAGGAGTATGGACTATGGGTACTGGCGTTTTACGGGCTTTTGTTTATGGTTATTTATGCCAGTGGCAGTGGTGAGTTTTCTTTATTCTTGCAGACCGGCGAAGTTTGGCTAAGTGGGGGACATTTTTGCTTGTTCCAGCGATTGACTGCTGTTTCAATAGAGAGCTGTAAATTCTTCGCAAGTCTCACCTTGGTGGAACTTAGGCTTCTATGCAAATAGAAGGCTCGTTCCACAAAGGTGAGACGTGTGCTCCAGCAGGAATAAAAAAGACTAGCGAATGAAAATGCCCTCAGAGTGCATGCTTGCGATGCAAAGCTTTTTTGCCTTGTGATTTCCTGTTTTAGGTATTTGGTGGTCTAACTCGATTAAATACAAAATGTGGACATAAGTGCTTACTGGATCAACATCAGTTGTTTTACTACTTTGGGCATAAGACTCCAAATGGAACGATCAATCTCGTGGGTAATTCGGTTTTAAGTAACATTTACTAGTTTTTCTTTTGTAAGGGTGAATACTGCTCAAAGCGTAGCAAAGAAAAGTTTTGGTAAAGCTAACAGCTATATTGCTTCAGGAATGTTGATGCTGCTGGGAGGAGCTTTCGAATTTTGGAAACAGTACAACAAAGAAATCATCGAAAGAGAAACCGATGATGTTGAATTAACCCGGTACATTTCCATTTCCATTGATTTTTTTTTTACTGTTTTTTTTTTTGTTCTGGTCATCGTTAATAAAGCTCCATTCAGCCGTATGAAGTCGCTACCCAATCTCGGTGAAAACAAGAAAGAACGTCCACTCTCGCTTCCTTATTCGCTTAAAGCTCGAATTTTGATCCATTCATATCTCAATCGTATTCCACTGGACAACGAAGGGCTTGAGTACGACCAACGGTTCGTATTTTGATTGTTGATATTTATAACTCCTCTGAGGCTCTCGTAGTGTTCATACTTCGCGTGCGCGAAAAATACGCGATTTGAAAACAAAATCTGTTATTTTGGGAGTGTAATGAAAAGGTTAAAGCACATAATTGTTGGGTGGTTCCGGCGCTTACTGAAGTGATAAATTTATCTGGGATAGACGTCCAAGAAATCGTAGTTTGCAGCGCCGGTGCGCGCGCGTACCATGCGCGCATAGTTCTGATGTGGGCATCTAATTGCCGGATGGGCAAGCGAAACTCATATGATACTGGAAGCGGAGACAGGAATCGCGTGATGGGCGATATCCAGTTCAGCTTTTCAACATTCAATTCCGAAGTACAACGAGCGTAGAGACAATCGCGCTCTCGCCATGCGCGGCGCCGGTTGCCACGCTCGCGCTGCATATTTCGATTGTCTTGTCACATCCAACTCCTTCAATCTGAAACTTTGTCGCCAATTCCCCTGATTCACGGATTTCGTGTTAGCGAAGTATGAACGCGTTCCCAATGCGGACAATTTGCTAAACACTATTTTTAGTTATGTGCTTCTTCGCGTATTACGTCTTACCGAGGAAATGATCTCTATTTCACAGCAACTTACATTTTACACTCAGGTACGCTTTAAGAAAGAATGGCCGGCTGTGTTTTCATGCCGACGATCGTGAAATGATTGATTGTGTTTTTCAGACCAAAGTTACCCATTGAAACCTGGATAATCCTACTCCGTCTAAGCGGCAATGTGTTGTGCAAGCCTTGTGGCCGAAAAATAGTCCTCTTCTCCAACTCCCTCATATCACTGATCACAATCTTCCTTATCTTAGAAAGGTTGGTGAACTTTTTCACTTTCGATTACTTCATTTTATATCGGTTTAGGACTGGCAAGTCTAATCGGTACAATGGCAGGACTACCCCCAATAAGCCGAATAGTTCTACGGAGTATCGTAAGAATGCTTTTCCACTAAGGTGTACTGCGCTGTTTTGTTTGCCATCCTTAGGCGGGATGGATCGGCGCAGTGTAGAGGGAGGGTGGTGTACCGATTGATGTTTTTCTGGAAATTTCGAATTTATTTTCCATGTATGCTGCAGACCTCTCTAAACGAAGTTTCGGTGGGGGCTTATGCGGAACATACTCGCAATCAATACGCGTTCAGGGCGTAAGGCTGCCAGAGTGGTAGACCCGGATACATATGGCTAATTAGCTCGAGCGGTGCGGCAGAAGAGCTTTCCGGTGATGGCCCACTTAATAGCAAGTTAGCACGCCATTTCTTGATCTTTGATCCTCAGGCGACCCTCAATTAATGACGGCTTAATGGAATCATGTCCTGGTTTGAATTCTTAGAGCCTTTTTGGCATCATCATATGGGGAATGAAAATGCACATACTTTTGCACAATATTACACTTTTTAGGGACGTGTATTTTCTTGCGGAGATTTAGCCGCATTAGATGGAGAGAAACGTCGTGCTCTTCTGAAATCCTTATCAGATGAAGAATACCGTGATGTGCTCGTTGTATTGTCTTCTATGCCACGGTTGTCCATTCAAACTACTGTAGTTGGTGGGTTTTTCTTGTAAGTCTGTTGTTTAACACCTTTCGGACCGCCATTGTGCGAGGAACCCCTCACATTTTTTTCACTTTCTGAATCGGTAATTTCATCTGCTTCTTTCACTTTCCTGTGAATTACGTGAATTCTGTGCCAAATAGCGTCTTTTGATACTTTTTAAGCATGAAAAAATGCCATATAACCATATGAAAAAGCGCAGAGAGAAAGGTGTGTGACACACCAGGTGTGTCACGCGGCCCGGAACGTGTTAACTAGTATTTTTTGCGCGCAACAGGAGGCACTCACACTCAAATGTATTGAAGGTCTTTTTTTCTTTGCGAAATTAGCACCATTCCACCCCCCCCCCCTCTCGCCCTAGACGCTAGTGTTTCTGTAACATCGATTATAAACTGCGCTGACATGCGTTATTGTGCGCTATAGGATGTGCCTGCAAGGACTAGGCCGCATCTTACGCTGCTGAATCCCCAGTAAGGGGGTCGTATGTGGTCGCCGGGGATGTGGGTCATATATGGCCTAAGAAATCCCCCTCCCCTGCCCCGCAGTAGACGGCGCAGTCAGAGTCCTATTAAGCTACTATCTCCAATAGCTGAACCTTCCCCGACCTCCTCCTGCTCTTCGCTCAACCTCTTTCGGGAAATACTGGAAAAATCTCTGGAAAACTGGGAAACGTGATCGAGGGGAACCTAAGGAAAATGGCAGCTGGATGGAGATGGAGGATGGCCAAGTGAGTTGCTCCAGAGGGGGAAATTGGGGGAGGGTCGGAGGGTCGTACTCGCGAGAAAAAATAAAAAATTTCCCTACGACATAACGTACCCTGGTAAGGAGTGTCTTTGGGATATTCGCATTAGCTTCATGATCGAGATTAATCTGGCCTAACATGTTTATCACTAGCGATTTCCTATTCCCCTTATTTTTAGAGCGCTAACTTTTTCAATTTTTCCGTTGTTCCGGAAGCGAATTACGAGTCTCTGGCTTACTGCCCTCTTAACACGTTTCCTTTGCAGAGTAGAAGGGGGGGGGGGGAGGGTGAGGAATCCCCCGTCGTCTTCTTTAATGCTTCTTATAAATTTTATTCATTACATCATTTCAGGATAATAATTGTTTTGCTTTAAGTGGAGGGCGAGGACGATGCATTTGAAGTCACTGCTGGCTGTGTTGCCACCATCAAGGTGTCACTGCAAAGGTCAAGCTTGTTGGATCCTATCGTAAGTTTTCTTCTGAGAGCCAAATAGTGGGCGTTTCATGGCGCTTGGTCTATTTTGTCGTTTATTTCATTTTTGAGAGGAATCGTTCTGCTCATTTGCTTTTTTTTTTTGGCGCAGTTCAGCTTGGTGGGGGGTGCAGTATTTGGTGCTTAGCGAAGCTTGCACAAGTTATCAGGACCTGAAAATTCCCACAAGTAAAGTGGCTTTTTTGAGCGACTGCGCAGCCTCACAAGAACTTACAGGTTTTTTTCTAGCAGAAGAAGCAAGCGAAAGTTCAAAATACCCGCCCAAGCGGAACGGCGCCGTTTTTTTTTCTTTGAAAACGTTATGATTCTGATGTGTTGGTTTTGCGCGTCATTTTCTCTTTTCTTTCGTCATTTTTCATCATCAACTTGAGGCTTCTATGGTACAGTTACAGGCAGCCGGACTGGAAGATCAACGAGTGCATGTAGGTGAAGAAGCCGACGGGGATGCCTAGTGTAGATAGCGAACAGGATGACGAGGAAGTTGCCGCTGCAGGAGACGGCATCATCAAGGAAGAAGAAACCAAGGAAGTCAAGGTTTGCACTGTTCGGTGGCTCTAGCAAAAGCTTTGCAATAGCAAAATATTATCATGACTAGTGCAATCTAGCCAAGCGAATAACTGTCCTGAGAAATAATGGGAGACATTCAAGACAATAGCCATTTGTGGCTCTATGGCGCGCGGGGTTTCCTTAAGTTGCGTTAGCATGTCGAGTCGAGCATTGGGGTCTCATGTAGACTATAACATCGTAGATATTGCCGCCATTTATGAGCTAGAAACACCGCCATTAGCAAGCACGACGTCAGGCTTATTGCGTGGATACTCCGTTAGCCAAGGCTGAGTGGAATTGGGTGAAAGTACTTCCTGTAAAATAACTGAATAGGTCGTATTACATATTGAGGGACTTTACTTCCGCTTGCTGATCGCTCCCGTATCAAACTTGCTTATTATGCAGCTCGACGGCAAAACCTTGGAAAGAATTGAAAGGGGCATGTCACAAGACAATCGTAACAAGCCGGGCTGGGCGTGGCAAGGGACGTCGAGCATGTGAGAGACGAGCCGTCTTGCCAGGCCGTTTGGATTTGGATACTTAAGGGACAAGAAAGATCTAAAGCACCAAGGGAGTGCGGGATAGTGTTTTCGGAACAATTAATGTTATCGCTGTTCACAAAACTTTGTGCCGTTGTCACCAGGCCACAACGTGGACCACCGCTTGTTTGGATCAGGTTTGTTCCAGATACTACCTCTGTGGAGTAGACGCCTACCAGTTATCTTCAGGGGGTAAGGCCGGCCAAATTGCCAAGTGAGGTACATGGGAGGTGAACAAGCCTTATGGTGTGGCGCCTTCTAGCTTCGAACCTTGAAGTTATCGCGCACTGTCTGCAGTTCTGGAGCTGGTCTACCCAAGTAAGGGTGTGAACTGTGGAATGAGCTTTTGAAGAAATGTGAATGCATCGTCCCTGTAGTGTGTCAAAGTCCGCTTAGAACTGTAAATATTGCAGAAGAAGAAGCCTTGGGAGAAAAATCGTCCACAAAAGAAGAAAGGTGGTGCAAAGAAGAAGCCTCAGAAGCAGCAAATGAAAAAAGTGAGTTGGATACGGTATACCATGTTTTGGAAGTTCTCATATATCTCTTGCAGGTGGTTCCAGTCGCACCTGTAGCGCCTGTTGCGGTTGAAGAAGAGGAGAAAAAAGAAAAAGAGAATAAAAATGATAAGAATGATAAAGAAAAAGATGATGACGATGACGACGAAGTACGCTTTTTTGTTTCCTTTTGTGTTCTGTTGTGAATCCTCCACAATGCAGTAGTTTGTTCAGGGATCATTGTCATTATCGGATGCGCCCCCTAGGTTTGAAGAAAGTGATGTGGAAGATGATTGGGAGGAGGGTTCCATGAGGAAGGTAAATCCATTATATTCGTTTCATGGTTTAGTTAGTTATTATGTTTTACATCCTTTCATGGCGCAGTTTGGCTTGGTGGGGCACCAAGTAGTGTTCAGGTAGGCTTGTAGAAGCCGCCTTGTAAAAACCTGTGAGTTCCTCTCATTAAAATGGCTCAACTGTCTCATTTCGTTGCTTCCGAAAGTTTAGTGGTGTTAACCTGCCAAGGAACATGTGCTAGCAAGAGGAGCCAGAGAAAGTGCAAAATACCCCTTCCAAGCCGAACCGCCAGTTTCAATGTAAATCATTTTCAGGTCAATTTCGATGCGAAATCTCACAAGACGCATTTAGTCCATTGTCCACACTTCCCTGTAGAGAAATATGAATGGTGGTGAGTAAATTGTTCTGCGGTTTCCCTTGTGACTGAGGAACTGGTTTGACTGTAATTAACCTTTCCAAGGTGGTTGGTACTGACGATGTGGGACAAAAAGCAGCGTCGACTAGTGTGTCCCACTGTGGCCTGCAAGACGTTGGTCGATGAGCAAACGGTAAGCTACTTTCGACATTCGACCCAGGTGTAGCACAGGTTTCCTACCGTTACGAGGAGAAAAGGCGCATTTTTTCATGCCATAAAGGTAGATAGGTGACAACAGAGGCACGTCATCTATCTACCCCTTGACAGGCAAAAGCCGAACTGCGTACCTGTGCTACATCGAAGCCGAGTTCTCTTCTCTCAGCTCGGAAGACCTTCAAGAGCGAAATGGGGAATTCCATAATTTTAGTAAAAAAATTTCAGGTGGAAATGCGGTTTTCAGCACCGCCAGTAAAAGGCATATATAATTATCAATTAGCGGTTCGGTCTGATTCATATATGGATTGTGACTACAACAAAGATATTAAGGTCTGTTTGAATGAATATGTTGTCCGCTTCGAAAGCGTATTACGCAATGGCCAGGTGGGCGGAGACTCACAACATTCGCGTCTTCTTCATTCGCGCGATTCCCTTCTCCAGGGTTGCGTCCATACATTTTGCCCCTATGAGGTTACGAAAATCTAGAAATAGGAGGAGGCCCGGGTCAGTAGAGTAGAGTGCGCGTCAAATCAGTATTAGGGAACAGAGCGACTCCAGACACCAGCGAATGGGGGATATCAGCTAGAAGGAACGTACTTGGTTGCTAGAAGAAGGGGTCGTGTTTTTCCTTGGGGAAAGTGATTCGGTTGCTGGCCTTACTTAAACTTTCCTGTTTGGAATACGCTACACTCCTTCCTATCCCTCCTACGCTCGGCAACCGCTTTTTTTGGAGACAACCGGAGAATTTTTCGGAAAAAAAATTGGAAAAGTGGTGGGAAGGGAGAAGAAGGGGTCGTACCAGAGCAGGAAATTTCGAGGTAAAGATGGAAAGTCGTATTTTGGTATTGTGCGCAAATTGTTCTAAGGGTAGGACGTGCCTTGTCGGGAGGAGAGTAGCTGATCTCCCTACCCCATTGGGCCGCAGTTACCAGATTCCCGCCTTCTGCGGTGCCTCTATTATCCCGATCCCCCATATGGACACCTATGCTTTCCTTTGGAGCGCATTTTATGAACGCGACCTTATCCTAAAAGTAGAATTGTACCAGCGAGGAACGCGAAATGGCTGTGGGTCTCCACCCATTCGTTTATCGCGGAATGGTAGTAATTGCATTAATAGGAGTATTTTAGCTTGAAGTGAAGGAAGCGAAAGAGATAGTTCTACCGAAGTATGAAGACACTGAAGACGAGGACGAAAAGGTGGTGGCTTCAAGCGATGAAGAATACACGGAAGGATCGGATTCCGATGAGGAGTAGTCCATTCCTGGCGATGGGACCGTTGACTATGGGTCTTTAGACGTTCGCTGCATTTGTGCACAACAATTTTTGATCAGAGGGTATGGTGGTTTGGTAATAACCGCTTTGAGTTGTGCGCCTTGTTTTGCGGCAACATATTTAATTTCAATCGAGGTTAACTCGTATTAATTGTGATACATAGATATTTTAATTACTAATTAATTTATTAGTGTCAAATAGATCTTCCCATTTATAGTAACGTAGAGATGTTTCATTTCGCTGTCAGGTACAATTGTTCAAAGTGGATCGTAGTTGCCCGTTTTGATGAAGTTCGAACAAATCCGACGCACCTGAAATGTACTGTACGATCATGAGCATATGGGCCTTCTCCTGTAGAGTCGGGCGTGAATTCTATTCGGGGTATCAGTTGTTTCCTTAGAGGCAGTGGACACGATTGCTGGAGGCGGGCGGTCGTTGCCAGCGTCATTGGTGGAAAGGGCTGCTAGAGGGCGTTTGGCCACGCCCACTCAGCCCTTCCATCAGTGACGCTGGTGACAACCGCCCGCCCCGAGCCATCGTGCCCACTGCCTTTGAATTTTATCAGCAGCCGAAAACTTGTCATGACGGTTGCTTTGAAAGCGACTTGAGAACAGTTCTGAGTAGTTTTGTAAACTGTTCCTTGATTCTAGGGTTTTTTGGGTTTATAAGGTTTTCCAGAGTTATGCGCAGAGCTATCAAGAAGCCTTCAAAGTGCCGCCAGTGTCGTTTTCTACGTCTAATCGTTAAAAAATTACGATGTATTTGCGATATCTGTATATGGCCGGCTGTTATATTGTTGCGTTCCGCCATCAAATTTTTTGACTCTTCTTCTTTTGTGATGAAATGCTTATTTGAAGCATGAATTTATGAACCATTTTCTTCATTATTTCGAGGATTTACAGCGCAACAGACGTGGGAACTCACACTGTGGAAAAATGTGCTAAGAATGCATTCTGCGATTGCAAGCAAGACAAGTACGTTGGGGGTCGTACTTGCCTTACAATCCCCATCCGCTCGACGGTAGTTTTCCAGCGGAAAAAAAAAGAATTTTCAAAAAAACGGGAAGTTGTAATAAGTTGTCAGGCCGATGACAGGTAGGATGGGGGATGGGGAGGGGTATCGTAACAGAAAAGGACGTTCTGAGAAAGGGGTCGTATTTGACAACGGTAGGACGTGTCCTGCTTGCAAGTTCTGAGGTAGCTAGCTCAAAAAGGGATTCATAACTGCTAACTGAAACGAAAGAAAGCGTTGAAAATTGTGAAATTATCGCCATCTTTTTCACTTGATTTGGACGAGTGTACGTAAAAGTGAGAATCGAAGAGAAACTGGGTGCGCGAGCGAGAGACCATACAGAGGAGGGGTTAGAGAGCCTAGGGTCTCTCACCCCTTCTCTGTATGTTCACAGATGTAAATAGAGCTTGAATTGGTCCCGTTATAGACGCTGTTCACCTTGGGAGGGGCATTTAGCACTTTTGCTAGCTTCTTTTGGTACCTCCTGTTAAATTACAAGTCCTTGATGAGACTTGAGACTCCTGTCAACTCCCGTCAGCTCATGTTATTGTATAGCTTAACAGTAAATTACAGGTCTCCACAGGAGGCATAGGCAAAGTCGAGGGAGAACTGACAAAATACCCCCACAAAGCCGAACTGTACCCTTGTTTATATAGGGCGCTAAAAACAGTGTACGCTGATAGTATGGCTGATTTCGTCCAGCAATAGCAGCTTTCCTGAGACGTAGGTCCTGTGAGAATAACCTTTTGTTGAAGAAAAAAAAACTAAAAGACACACCTCCAACATGTCGCCCACAGATGAAAATGTAAGGGAAAGTTATTTGTCCAGTCATTCGATGAAGATCGACTTGCAGTTGCCGTTGCCAGTCTTCGTCGCCGACAAGCTCTGAACAAATGGGATTGGAGGTACAGTTCGCACTGGCTGTGTGGGCGGAGACAGTCAAGCGTCATGTCATTCTCGGTGGTGCGTTCTTCCTAAGGTAGTGAAGACGAATGGCGAGCCAGTGTGGAGGGCACAACGATTTACTGTCTCCGCCCATGCGATTAGCGTGGACTGTGCTTTCACCTAGAAAGTAAGCTGCAACATCCGCGTAGTTCACAGCGAGAAGATGTTTGGCTCGTTGACATGGAACACATTGAACCAACGTGTACATCATAATCGGATAGCGCTTCGCTTGACGTTGGATATATCCTGAAATCGTTGTAAAGTTTGACATTTGTTCAGGAGGGGATAGTCTTGTTCTCTGCGGGCACTATGGCGTTCCAGGGCGCCACCCAGCCTCCACTAATTATTGAAACGGGAAACGACAAAAGCTGGTGGAGAACGGGTTAGCGCAGCGCCAAACCCTACTCCCTCCCCCCGCCCTTTTCCCACCTTGACACGCCCCAACATGTGCAGCGAACAACACTGACCAGTGGCAGTTGGCGCCACTTGTTTGGCCCAACGGCGCCGGAGTGAGCATTAACCCCAAAGAATGGCTATAAACGAAACAAGACATATTTTGGATTTCTTGTGAATAGTACAATGGATAAGACTGACCTGCATACGAATAGCCCATTCGAGTGAGATGGCCTTCCATTGTGGAATATCGGATGCTGAAAAAAACTTTCTAGGGAAATTTCTTCAGTTCTCTTCACTAATTTCCCTCTCCCACGTCATTTTCTCATTCCTTTGTCTGACAGTACCCACCTTATCAATTTCTGGCCTTGATCCCTCGAGTGGTTGCTGAGGTAAAGGATGAGAACGCCCTCTTGGAAGCTCGTACCGTCGATGATTGTTTCTAGGCTGTTCAACGAGGAATACGCCCTGAAAAGGAATATCGAGCGAAAGTTCCAGAAGATGGCTGTTTTGCAGGATATAGCGAAGATAATGAAATGCGAATGAGCAGTTGGAGAGCACTAGGGCAGCCTTATCGGAGTTCAACAAGGGGGAGGCGTCCGCAGGAGCAATTTATTCCGGTAGCATTTCCCCCTCTCTTATACCTACAATTCTGCCACTTTTTCGTCTGCACCCTCACCCTTCTCAAAGGCCCTCAGATATGGGCTGCTTTTTGTTGCTCATTCCGTCACTTAGAAACGGTTGGCTCACCACGGTGCGACCACTGGGCGCATAGTAAATAAATAAATACACTAATCGTTTCAATAACCTTCCTATTTATAGCAATAAT